TGCGGCCTCCGGCATCCACGTTTACAGCGCGATGTGCGGGCTCCCAAGTGCCCGCAACGCTACCGGTCATCCCGTCCTCAAAGCTGCCCGCTTCCTCCTCTTCTGCCCCGGCCTCAGCCCGCTCGTACCCACCGCACACCTCACCGGGCCTTAACAGCCACCTGCAGCACGGCAGCTGTGTCCAGCACGATGGCTTTGACGCTGTAACATCGTGTGACCCCTACCGTACTTACGCAGCACCCTAACAGTAGCGCCCCCAAACCGTCACCCTCCAACGCAAGCAAGCGCTAAGCGGCGTACAGGGAACAGCCTCCTTCTCTAAATGTCTGAAGCCGATTGAGTGCTGGCGAGAGGGCGGCCCTGGCAAGGAAACCCCCGTCTCTAGGCACAGGTCCGGGCCACGTACAAGCACGAGGACAGCTCAGCCTGCGCGGGGGCCTCTCGGGGGAAGAAGCGGGCGCCTGAAAGCAGGCTGAGATCGTGGTCGTGTTACCCGACCCGTCAAATGGTCCTGGAAGAAGCTCAAGATCGACGAGGTAGGTAGCGGGACACGTGCGAAGGCCAGAGGGCCTGACTACGGAGACACGCAGCAGGAGCTCTGGGCCACGGACGTGACCCGTCGCAGCTCCTTCCACGCGCCACCCAGCAAGTACGTTAAGGGAGCGCGGGCCACGCAGCCGATCTCCTGCCTGCGTTGAGCTGCACCCTGGTGCTACCGCGTGCCGGGATCACCCAGCAGTCAGGGCCCCACATCCAGGCCCAAGTTTCTGTAGTCTAATGGAAGAATAGCCCAATAAAGCATATTACTACTCAAGGAAACAAATGTGACTTGGATACCCAAATGTGTTGTGTTTGAGTCATGTCTGGCACCCACAAGAGATGCAATAATTGCCCCGCAGCCTTAACATGAAAAGGGATCGCTGTCTCACACAGCGAGCCAGGGCTAGAGCTCGAAAGGCCTTGCTCGAAGAAGGCCACATGGTTTCCAGCAGGGAGAAATGGCTGTTTCTTTCCCTTGATGTCCAGCTGCCCTGCCCCTATCGCATGGCTTCTCTTCCTCCCTACCGAGGCTCTATGATTTCCCAGGTGAGAGAGGCCCTTTCACAAAGAAAAAACCCTCTGCCTGGTCCAAAATCCACAAGGTGTGCTGACGATGCTCGTACGCCATCAGTACATCTCCACTCGCGCCCTCTTGAGACCCTGTGAGCAGCAGCACCCTAATCCCTTTGGTGACATCTCCCCTGAGGATCACTCCAGGGTCTCCTTCACGCCAGCCGTTACATGCAACACACAAAGGGACTCCCCAGAGCGCTGGGCCAGAGAGAACAAGACATTCCTGGTGCAGGGGAAAGCATCTCACTTGGAGATGAAGGCTGCTTCCTTAAGTTTCTCAGGATCTTTATTTTGTAGGCAGACACGTTGGCTATAGGGCTCCTCGGACAGCAGTGGGCTTCCCGCTCGTGTCATCGGATACTTATTCATTATGGTAAAGTGCTGCACAGAAGACGGAAGAATTAAAGACACGTTACCTGCCCCAGAGAGTTTACAAACCAGAGTTTGGCCACGAGCTGAGCGGCGACAATGAGAAAGGAGAGAAAGGAGGGCTGGAATAAGGATGGACTGGGGTTACAAAAACGAGCACGGCTATTTGAGGAATACGCGCGTACCGGTGGCTCTGTGTAACTTTGTACGCAACAAAGACAACAGCTTCAGTTCCCTTACGTCAAGGTTAAAAGCGAGTCACAACTCTGAGCAGCAATTCTGCTCCTCTTGGGAAGCCGGTCCCAAATGCACGTGCACGCACAATCTCTAGCTACGTCCAAGGCAAGAAGTTGCAATGCAGGATCAGTCCCAGGAGCCAGAAGGACAGGAAGTACCCCAGAACGCATTTGGTCAAGGCGGTATTCCTTCTGTAATTCAGCAGTAATGGTGGAAGGGGGTTTTCAGAAACCCCTGTTCCAAACAACCCCAGAAAAGCGCTGCCCAGACGGGGCCTCTCCGAGAGGGAAGCTGCAGTCTGGGTGGGATCCCCTTCTCGCCACAGCAAGGCGTCGCTGTCCTGGAGCAGGTGAGCAGAGAACCAGTACAGCACCGGGGAGGACGAGCCTAGGAGCCGCGTTAGGACCTGAGAACGACAAGCGGAAAAAGGAATCGCACTAATGACAGGTCTGTGAATCCAACCACCCTCCGTTGTGCAGAAGGAAAGGGGCAATCTGTCTCAGACTACTGGTCAACTGGAATGAAATACCGCCCTGCTTCATGGTGCTAGGATCTATTATGCTCAGGGCAAAATGCCTCTCAGCTCAGAGTCCCCCAACAAAGACAGCCGGGGAAGCAGCCAAATAACCTCTAGATTATAAAAAACGGTAACCACCCCAGTTCCTCTGGTACTACACAAAATGTCCACCGAACCATCTCCCAGAGCCCAGCGCCTGAGCAGCGCAGCGGCTAGCAGTTCCCGAGATTTAAATTCTCCTGTCCTTGCCTCAAGAAAAGGAGAAGTCCAACCCTTGGATAACAAGGATATTTCCCATTTATGCAGGCATCCCATCCTGAAGGATCCCAAGACACGTTACAGATGCAATGCGTGTTGCATGGGGAAGGCACTGTTGGTAAAATGCCTAGTTTGCCTCCTGGGAAAGATAAGGGACTGCAAACGGCTTACAGAGCTGTGGACAAAGTGCTGGTTCCGGCACCCCTTATCACGTGTGCCCTGTGTCGCTCCAGACCCCTGACCAGGCTGGAGGCCCAGAACCAAACTCGTCCTCCACGAACGTCTGACTGTCGAGCACACGTAGGCACTCACGTCCACACACGTGCTGAGGACATGGCAGCACAATGGGGTCAGCCCGAGGGGCGGCAGGGCAGCAAGTCCAGAAGACAGAGTCCAGTTTAAGCAGTGAGAGGCAGGGCAAAGCAAGCGAGCTCTTCCTCCACTTGAGGTTTTGTTTCATGCTTCACGACCCATACCTGGGTTTCCCCCAAGCTGGTTCCTGCGACCGCTTTCCTTGCGTCGGTAGCAGTGTCGGAAACAGTCCTGAATCACTTCTAGGGACTGGCAAGGGTCTACGGAGCCTTTCATTTCCAGGCCACCATTTCAAATCCCACCCAAATTGGTAGTGGCCCAACGTCAGGACCCCCCCGAGAGCTGATTAGCACCATTTGGCTCAACTGGAGATAAGCATGTTAGAAACATCATCCAGTCGACAGATGGCCTACGAGAAACAAGCTGGTAACCCGGCGTGTTCCCATCAGCCCTGGCACCCGCCGGCCTCTTTTTGATCAGTCTCAATGAGAGAAATGACTTAAATGGCTTTGGAAACTGAAGAAACGATCTGTGATCTGGAAGCAGCCCAGAGGGGAAAGGCAGAGCTTCCAGGCAAAAAAGCCTGCGCTGTCCTGGGCCTGTTCTGTGGTTAGGGTATCTCGGTCTCCGTGACCATCCATCCACCGCCCTTCCTCAGCACTTATTTCCCTTGAAGAAACAACTTACACATTACCGTGATCACCTTACCTGCACGTGCATGCAGAGGAGTCCGAATACCAAGAGAGCAGTGGCGTGGACCACGTATACGAAGACGCCAGAGGAGCAAAATCCAACCCCTGGCTTAGCAGCGCCCTCTCCTCCCCTGCTTTTATTCCTTCTCCTCACCAGGCCAAGCGTTAAGCAGTGCTGGAGATTGGCAGTGAGGTAGATGCCGGCAGCCCAAGCGCTCAGCATCATGATGGGAGCAGCTAGCAGGAAGTTGGGGATCTGTTTCAGCTGAAAGTATCGCAGAAAGCCCACGTTCCAGTAAACGTCTTGAATGTAAGAATAGATCATAGGAACCCGGTGGGAGCACCAAGCAGGTTTCACCCCAGTCATGCTTGCTAGGCGATACCCTTTGTCCACGGCCAGCTGCAACAGCGGCTGGGGAACAGCGCGTTCAGGGCTGACATCGGGGTCACAGAATCTCAAGTAAGCATAGAACTGAAACAAAGCAGGAGGTAAAAAGAGGCCGGCACACGTCAGAACTACTGAGGCTGCCAAGCCGAGAAGTTGCCTCCAGACCTGAGCCTGTTTCATGACAGACCCCGCACCAGCTTGGAGCTGGAAGGCAAGGCGTCTGCTCTGGGAATAGAGCAGGAAGCCGGCATTGATCACCCCGTTGGAGCGCACGCCAGCAGCAAAGGAGAAAAGCAGTCCGCTGGTCCAGCTACGCCCCTTCTCCAGCTGCCACATGGCACTGAACGCCAAGAGGGCAAACATGCTTTCCGAGTAGGCGGCTGTCATGAACACATTGGCTGGGGTGAGGCAGAAGAGGAGGGCAGAGAGGAAGGCTGTCCTGCGACACTGCAGCACCACGCAGCCCAGCTCGTAGAGGACAACAGCTGCCAGGACAGAGAAGAGGGCGTTTAAAAGTACAGCTGACAGGAGCAGGCGGCTCCGTAGGCAGAGCAGCCCCTGCAGGGGCCACAGAGTGACCTCTGCCACCGCTCGTATGCTCAGGGGGTACACGGGGAAGAAGGCAAAGTTGTGCTCATACACATAGCCATGCTCAGCTACGAACAAGAAGTGCTCTGCATCCCAGTGGGACAAGCCTCCCAACAGCCACTCCAACAGCCAGTCGCAGAAGCTGGGCTCAGACAGGCGGGGTGGAGAGAAGGCGTCTGCAGCGTGGTCCGGGACCAGGAGGTTAAACAGGGCCTGGATGAGAGAGGGAGAGAACTGAAACTAGCCATGCCTCTTACTGAAGACAGGGCCAGTGAAGGAAGACTCCAGGGGCTCGGGGAGTATTAACACCGATGTGGGAGTACAAGGAGGCGCTCAGACATGCAGGGTGACTATCAGGAAAAGTTCCCGATGGCAAGGTTTGCTGGACTGAAATGGCTCCAGGTGGGGCGCCCAGTCACTTGGGACACTTCCATCTGGACTGCACAAAGCTCTGGGGAACACGGAGGGAAAAATCCAAGTCCTGTGTCAGCCCCTGCCGGCAGGGTGGAGCTGAACTAGCAGGCGTCTTCTCTGGCACTTGTGTTCCTGCAGCCAGTTACGGCGCATTTTACTCCTGGCTACTCCGGACCTGATCCTACTCAGTTTGCACTAACACCAAGCACTTCTGTAGCACTGTCCAGCTAAGCTAGCTCCTCAAACCGCGATGCAGTCTCACCACCTCGCCCCCTGCTACTTACACACTACCGTACTTCCCACTTTACAGGTGGGAAGATTGAGCCATGGAGCAGGGAAGGGACGTATCCAAGTTCATGCAGCAAATAAACGGAGAGGCACAAATATACGGACAAATGCCAAGAGCTGACTCCCAGGCTCGTTCTCCAGCCGTGAGACCATGCTCCCATCACTCCTGCTTCCTCCTCTGCCTAGTTAAGACAAGCGTGCAGAAACTCTCACCTAGCCACTCTCTCTGTGAGCTGATGGTCATCACGTTTTAAAAGTGGTAGAAAAAACAAAAAGCTCAAGGTAAGAGCCCTGAAATGGAAGGCCCTTGAAAACAAGGTACAGATGTACCTTACAGACTAACTAAATCAGATCTGCAGAAACTTTTGTGAGCAAGTGCTCACTTACTCAGATTAGCACCTGAAAGCTTCTGCATCCCTGATTCAGTTAGTCTATAAGGTGAAAATCTACCTCACCGCCTGACTTCAGACTAAGACAGCTAACAACGCTGCTCTGCACTTGAAAATGCTCAGCCCAAAAGGCAGCGGGCTATCGCTAGCACTTAAAACCGGGAACGTGGAGTGTCCCTTTTGCAATGATTTCAATGGTGGCATCAACAAGACAAGAACAAGTTGTGTTTGTTTAAAGTAAACCGAGATTTAAAAAAAATAAGTGTGAAGTGTTTTTCAGAGCAGCATTTGCTCAGCCAGGTCCCTGACGGACACTGCTATCTGGATGTACAGCCTATATCATCTCAGCTGATGGTTCAAATCCAGCTCAAGCCTGCGGTGCCCAAAAGCAGTTCATATTTGCTCTCTGTCTGGTAGCATTAGACTGGTTTCCCTCCACAAAAGCCACGAATGTCTGGAAGGAGGTCAGTTATATTCTCACCGATGCATTTAGGACTGAACAGCCTGGGAGGACTGAGCTATTCTCAGGCCTAGAGAAAAGACTGCTTGTAGGACTGAAGCCTGCGAACAATTTGCTTGGGAAGACTTTGGACCTGTTCTGTGGATCAACAGAGGACTACAGTCCACGGAGCTGTCATCCCAGCCCCGCATCGCAGCAGTGCATTCACAGAAATGTGATTATTTTACAAAGTATTAACCATATCAGACTTCTGCTTGACCGCCCCCCTGATCCCTGCGTGCGCCTGGCCTCGTGGCTCTCTGCATGTGAAGATCAAGTCAAGAAGATCCCAACAGTTCACAATGCACCTTGCAGTATTAAGAAGTGAACTCTGGAAATGCAGACGATGTTTATTAACCTGGTCTGGATTCACTGACAGGAGGCTTACCTGGAGCAGGAGTGTCAGGGCTCTGCACCACACCGCAAACCGCAGCACTTCTCGAAGGTAGGGCTCTCGTCTTTTCAGCAGCTGCATTCTGACCTCCGTGATGAGTCACTGATGCTTTCCATGGAAGAAATCCTCTCTCCGGTTTTTGAAACCTGAAATAAAGAGATCTGTGATTCTGAAGAGTACTGCTGGGGTAGGCCGTGGCTGCACGGTACAGAAACCTACTTAATGGCCAACTCTATATCTTTCATGAGCACGCGTTTGCAAGCCTACACGGAACAAGAACTTCCCTTCTGTAAGACACCACGGCCTCAGAGCCAAGCTGCCTCAGCCTACCATGTACATACAGAAAAAACACCTTCGTGGCTTCTTCCCTCTGGACAGACCGGGAGGGAGAGGGCACAGTCTACTCCGTTAATCCACTTACTGGGCAAGCACACACATCAAAAGCCTCCTTGGTGGTTGTCTCAGTTGAAAAGGCAATGGCTCAAGCCCCAGTTCAGCAAAGCATGTAAAATCCCCTGAGTTTTAAACAGACATTTTGCTGAAAGGGGAAGACCTAAAGTAAAGGTTTGCAGTTAAGCACGCGCATATGAGGTTTGCTGGATTTAGCTATAAAACAGACACAAAGCCCACTAGCTTCTCTCTTCCCAACAGGGTGCTCTCAGGGCAGGGCTGAGACAGAGAGCAGCAAGGAAAAGGCTGCAAGGGAAAGCAGACTCCTTCAGGCCTGTCAAGCCCACACCTCACCAGCACCAAACTCACTCGCCTGCCGCACGCTTCTCGCACTTAGCGCTCGGGCCCTGCACAGGACAGAAAACTCAATTTACCTGATACAACATTAGAAAGCACCATCTCCGTGCGTCTCCAACATTTTGGCAGGGGGCCGTATTCACTAGAGTGAGGGCATCTGCGTGGCTACAGGAACTCTCTACCCCCCAGACCTTAACTGGAGGAAATAAGCCAGTTTGAGGAGGCGACTTAAAGATTTATTCACACCTTGCCACTCTGGACTGACATTTCCAAGGCAGCCGTGATGCCTTCGGCTTCTGTGGGCCAGCTACGGAGCAAGCAGCCTCTAGATCCATTATGCTGTTTTCAGTGACACCATGCTTTCTCCCTTGGCCCTGCAGCCCCTGGCTGCTTCTTGCTTTGAAAAACAGAAGCCCCAAGTGCCCCTTAAGTTCTGACAGCTCCTGTGCTGGTCCAGTTGTTATAAAACCCACAGAGAACTCTACAGGTGCTTCAATTATCATCAATTTGGCCTCAAAGCACCTTGAGGGATGACAACACTTCTCCATTTCCATTTGACAGGTGGGGAAAACTGAGGAACCTGCCCAAGGATACCCAACGGGGCCGTGGCAAAACTGAGCCCAAAGTTGCTGACGTCTGGTTCCAGGCTTTAGCCAGTGGATTACGGTTCCTCTTTTCTCACACACCAACACGTTGGATTTTGCTGTGTCCCCTTCTTCTGGACAAAGTAATTAACACAGGGCGCAGAGTACCGCGTCAGGAAGACGTACTGTTTTTCTCCTAGGCAGAAATGGGGGGCGCTTCAACCCAACTCTAAATCCTACTAAATCTCGCAGAACAAAGGCAGCAAAAAAAGTCTGAGCACTTTAGATGCTGTAAAAATCCTGCAATGAATTTGTCAGGAAGGTTCAAATCAAAGAGTAAGAAACCTGCTCCTGTCGTACACTGCACACCCGATATCAGAAGTCCAGAAAGAGCTGCAACTCATACTCACCATGTTGGCAGGGAGCACAGGACAAGAACGTCTTTCTACAAAAAAGCACCATCACGACCTGCTCACAAAACACCTGGGTAGACAGGACAGGGAGAATAAAGAGCGGAGATAGGCTAACAAATCATCATGAAAAGAATTCAGATCTTATACAGCATTCAGGATGCATTTCTCTCCGTGTCTAACACGTCTAACCAGCCCTGTCTTCAGAAATGAATTCTCTTTCCCCAGCCATGAAAACTATGCTATCAAACCAGGCATAAGCCCTAATAAAAATGCATGTAAAATAAATCATGGAAATGAAAATACGAATTAGGACAGATCTGTACAAACGGCGGTGCTCGCCGTTCGCCGCCAGGGGGTAGCAGGCACTCGCGGCACCGGCCCTTCGAGCTCTGTGGCAAGCGGGTTCCGGCCACACAGGACTCCTGTCAGGATTCCCGTTTCAGCTTCTAAAGCGCTGATTCGGGCACCTCCGCTGTCTTGCAATATTCCTTCCGATGAAAGGAGCGCTCAAAGGAAAAAGATGCATTTATGAACCACTAACCCAAACCTTACACGAGACAAACTGCGTTTTAAAAATCCACTGCGCCTTTCATCATCTCTGCTGCTCACTGCTTGCATTTTTCTCCGTAATAAAGGGAGCCTTGTTGGTTTTACTTTCAGTCCGTTTCAGTTCCTGGTACCCAGGCACACGGCGACAACGTTTCGCTGCGGCCACCGGGCTGTTCGAAATCATCCTCTGTTTAAACACCGGGACTAAAATTGGGAACGGTTCCACTGCTTGTTTCCTTGTACAAAACCAAGGCTGGAGCAAAATGGACTGCGACATCCACGCTCGCGAGCCTGGTGCGCTGGACCAAATTTAGCAGTGATTTCATAGGGGCAAAGTCGCGACTCGCAGCCGCGCTGGCGACCGCCAGGGTGAGAGGGGCCCAGCGGAGCCAGCGCGCAGGATCGGGCCCCCCCCCCCCTTTTTTTAGTGCATTTAAAAAAATTCAATGAAAAATCACTTTGCAAAGACTCGGTTTCTACCAAGTCGCTCGTGCCTTTCCCTCCGGACTCGCGCCGCGCTGTGCCGCCGGGACGGCCCGGCCCGGCCCGCGCCCGGGATTTAAATGACAACGGCAAGAGACGGAAGCGCCAAGATCGTCCCCTTGCCCCGGTTTTGTTCAGCGAAAGGGCAGGCCGTGGGGCAGATCAAGGAGGGGCGGGAAGCAGAGCAGCAGAGCAGACACAAAGGCAAGGAGCAGAAAGCAGAGCAGCAAAACGGGCATGGGGCGCGGAACAGAAAGCAGCGCAGCAGCACAGGTCAGCGAGCGGAAACCAGAGCTACTGACTGGGCATGAGGCTCAGGGCGGGAAGCAGAAAGCAGAGCAGCAGCTCGGGCCCCGAGTAGGGACCAGAAAGCAGAGGGGCGAACCGGGCCTGAAGTAGGAGCGGAAAGCAGAGCAGTAGTTAGGACGCCCCCCTCCCCCCCACGGGGGTC